TTATATGTAATAAAGTACATGATAAACTTTCTAATAAATATAGTATCATTTAATTGTTTCATGTGATTGTTGAGTTATGCAGTTTTTTGTGAAGGCAATTTTTTTTGTTACACACTGTAAGTAATTTTGAGAATATTATTCTAGCACTCTAAACCCCTACTTTATTGATTATCCAACTCTTCATGCTCTTGCAGTTTCTGGCAATAAGCAATTCCACACCTTACTGATTGTATTTCCAGCAACTGAGAAAGCACGTTCTGATGGAACATTGGTTGCTTTTATTGTAAGATAAATCCCGTGCCATTAAGATAATTTCAAAAATCTTTTTTACAATTTGCCAAAAGACCATTTTTTACAATTCAAAAAATCTTTTTACAATTCACGCCAAAAGTGTATTTTTTTATTTAAATGATCTGTTAAGATAATTTCAAAAATCTTTTTTTACAATTCGCCAAAGACCATTTTTTACAATTCAAAAATCATGCCAAAAGTCTATTTTTTACAATTTAAATGATTTATTAGGATAATGTCAAAAGTCTTTTTTTACAATTCACACCAAAAGTTTATTTTTTACAATTTAAATGATAATGTCAAAAGTCTTTTTTTTACAATTCGCCAAAAGACCATTTTTTACAATTCAAAAAATCTTTTTGCAATTCATGCCAAAAGTCTATTTTTTACAATTTAAATGATAATGTCAAAAGTCTTTTTTTTACAATTCACCAAAAGACCATTTTTACAATTCATGCCATAAGTCTATTTTTTACAATTCTTTTTACAATTCATGCAAAAGTCCATTTTTTAAAATTAAAATGATTTATGTCAAAAGCCTTTTTGCAATTTGCCAAAGGTCCATTTTTTTTTAATACAATTCAAAAAAAACCATTTGCAATTCGCTAAAAGACCATCTGTTAATATTAATTAAATTTATTTGAGGTCAAAACCACTTCGCCATATCGGGATATTTTAATATCCGTTTTTGTCATTTTCATTTACCTTCCTTCATTCCTATTGGTCAATTTAGTAATTGGCAAAACAAAAATAATCATCAACATTAAATATGGACAATGACTAGATAGTACATAGACTGTTTTCATATTAGGAAGTAATACCCTTAAAGAAAATTTTATATGTAGTGAAAATTTTCAAAGAAAATTAGTTTTGACAATAATATTTTGTGTTACATCTATTTTGGAACCGGTTCCAAGAACCGGTTCGGTTCGGTTCTATTGTAACCGGTTCCATGGAACCAGAACCAAACCAAACCGAACCGCCCCATTCCTAGTTTCATATTAACTATTTTTATATAGGGATAGTTCTATATATCACTTAAAAATAACTAAAATTTTGATCCTTGAAATTTTGATAATATCAATGTTCACTTTGTCTGGTTTTGTTGCAGTATGCCACATATAAATCAGGTGACTAATTTAAAGGTAAATTAATAATTTATTTTAATGCTGAAATTTATTATATATATATTTTCTAACGTGAAATGAGTGTTTCTCTATTATTCAACAATATAGCTAGTTAATTATAAGCAACACAAACAAAACAAGATGAGCAGACAAATAATTGAATCATTTTAAGGATACTGGCTGCAACTTTTGATGATGGTTGCTACCATCTTTGCATCATATAAAAATGATTGCAACCACCTTTATAACCATTTTGTTTCCTTTTTTGATTGTATCATGGAACACTAGATCATTTGGGATTTATAGATAACTAATATTTGCATTTTAATAAGCATTAAAATTGATTAAATAGATTTTGGTTCATAAAAAAAAATTGGATGCATTTCTTCAAACATGATGAATTTAAAAACTGTGGAATGATGCACATATGGCTTTGCCTACACAGAAAAAAGGACAGGAAAGTTGGTCTCATTTAACATGATATATGCAGATGTTCTTAAACCTGTCATAAAAAAATGTTGTATGATTTGGTCATGAAGTGTATGAAATTATTAACAATTGGATGAGTCTTTTACTATTAGTTTGTTAATTATATATAAAATAAGCTGGCTGAGGATTTTTAAATGCCTCTTTTTTAATATTAATAATGGAGATAAAGGATTAAGTAAGCTATTTTTACTTATGAAGAATTAAATAAATGTTTGCTAATTCTTTCTTTTTAATTAATAAAGAGTTATATAATAATGATAAAATGCAAATGGAGAAATTTATAGGTGGAAAATAAAATAAAGAATTAATTTAAATTATTTGTTCATTACAAAAGATCAAGTATTCTTTCTTTTTTAATTGATGAAAAAAAGAGTTATTAGAAAAGAACATAGATGGTGGATCTTTTTATAGGTGGAATTATTGTAGTAAACCACAATGAATCAATTTGTTAGTCAGCAGTAATATTAATATTTAATAATAATAGTATGGTTCAAGTCATCTATAAATGTCAGTCCGAATTTAAAGATCTTTTTTTTAATTTATTTTAAGCCGATCATCGGTCTTTTAGGAAATCAAGGGAAGATCATTCCGAAATTTATTTACATATTAATATAGACATACATGAAATGACCTAACTTTGAAACCTTATAACTCAATACTTTTCTAATAAATGAAAATTAAAACGATGGAAATGAAGCTTAGATCTAGCTTTAATTCTATCGGTTTACTTTTTTCTTTTTCTTTTTTAATAAGCTTTTAAAATCATGTGATAATAATTAAATATTTAATAATTTTATTAGTATCATGTGCAACCAATAAAATTATTCCCTCTATAAATGCATCCAAGGAGTGCACTTATGGAGGGTTTACTGTAGTAATTGTAATAGTTTCAAATTAGCGTCGTGGTACATAAAGTTGTAGGTTTTAGGCGACTTGCACTGTACACAAACAATTCGATCTTTTTGGCAATATGTCCGCCCAATGTGAGAGGTTTGATATTGGTCAAGTAATGGGATCAACACCATCTATCTCTTGTTTAATTTATTTATTTGATTAATTTTTTTTTAACAATATATAATAGATATAATGGTAATGATGATATTTTTGTGTATATGATGATGATCTGCAAAAATAAAAATATATGAAAATAAAATACAAAAATCTAGAATGATTGAAAAATAAATAATAAAATAATAATGGAAAAATAGCCTGTTTACTTGCTAATTATAAAATATTAATGATTATTCTCTTTTTTATATGTTTCATCCTCTAATAATTAAAACAAATTAACAATAATAATTTTCTAGCCATCACCGCATCATGATCGATATCAAACCATCCATCCATCACTTCCATTGTTGTTGTTGTTGTTGTTGTTGTTGTTGTTGTTGCGTGGCTTGCCTAATTCTACACGTAATCGACCTTGTGTTGGATATTTAACCTTTAAAAGGTTTTAATTATCAAGGGAAAGAATAAAAAATAAATAAAAAATAAACAGTAATTACGACTAAATTTCCTTCTCTTTAAAACAACAACAAAAATCAAATATTAATAGATAGTTAATTATTATAATGATGATTACCACTGAATTCAATTTCAGAGCTTCATCTAACGCTTCTTGAGTCTTAAGATCAACATGAGCAAATTGTTTTCCTGGCACATACCTAATATCAGCAACCTATATATAAATGAAGAATTTAAAAACATTGGTTGGTTTTATGTTTATGAAATGTTGTCCATTATTTCAAAAAAATTTTAAATATTATAATAATATTATAATAATAGACATACATCTTCATTATTAAATAAACCATAAAGTTCCTCAATCCCTGAGACTGTTCCTGTCCAAGATATAAAGATGGTAGAATAATAATTGTTGTTGTTATTCTGTTTAATAAAACACCAAATGCGTATTATACATCAATAAGGATATTATTATTTTATGATAATAATAATAATGATAAAAATTTACCTTTTGACGATTAAAAATCATATCATTTCCCATTTTAACAGAAGTATAAGAGCCAGGCGTCAAAAATTGATTGAATTGAAGTTGGGAATTGTGGGAATTGTGGTTCTTTTTATAACAACAAGTAATAGTAATGGTATTTAGATCACGTCAGAATAGGAATAGTTTCAAAATTGGCGCCGTGGTACATAAAGTTGTAGGTTTTAGGCGACTTGCACTGTACACAATTCGATCTTTTTGGCAATATGTCCACCCAATGTGAGAGGTTTAATATTGGTCAAGTAATGGGATCAACACATCTATCTCTTGTTTAATTTATTTATTTGATTAATTTTTTTTTAACAATATATAATAGATATAATGGTAATGATAGTTAAATATAATAAAATGGTATGATATTTTTGTGTATATGATGATGATCTGCAAAAATAAAAATATATGAAAATAAAATACAAAAATCTAGAATGATTGAAAAATAAATAATGAAATAATAATGGAAAATAGCCCGTTTACTTGCTAATTATAAAATATTAATGATTATTCTTTTTTTTATATGTTTCATCCTCTAATAATTAAAACAAATTAACAATAATAATTTTCTAGCCATCACCGCATTATGATCGATATCAAACCGTCTATCAATCACTTCCATCAATTAGATTTTGAGACGTGCGAATTTACAGAAGTACTTGGTTGCATGGGTATTGATGATAATGTATGGTTGTTGTTCATACTGTTGATGTCAGTGGTAGGATTTTTAAAATATGGCTGCTGCCGATTATTATTATTGTTGTTAAGACCGTTTAATATGTTGCCGTTTAATTGATGATTATTAGCGGTGTTAATGTTATTATAATAACTGTAACCAATGTTGTTGTTGTTGTTGTTGTTGTTGTTGTTGTTGTTGTTACTATTACGATAAATAGTCCCGCCAGTATTATTATTATTATTGTATTTATGTTTTTGTTGTGTTTGAATACCATTTGTAGTATTGTTTCTATTGTTATTATTATTGTTATTTTGACGGTTATTAAGGAAAGGTTTATTACCATTATTGTTGTTGTTATTATTATAGTGTAGTTGTTGCTGAGGTGGTCTTTGGCCAACTATGAAAATACAATCATTAATATTATTAGTGATATTTAATGGACATGCAAATATTGTTTCGATAAAAAATAAAAATATAATTTACCTAGATTATTAATGTTATTGTTAATATGATTGTTGTTAATCTTATTATTATTATTTAATTGATTAGTTGGAGGGTTGTTGTTGTTGTTGTTATTATTGTTGTTGTTGTTGTTGTTGTTGTTGCGTGGTTTGCCTAATTCTACACGTAATTGACCTTGTGTTGGATGTTTAATCTTTAAAAGGTTTTAATGATGAAAGGAAATAAATAAAAATAAACAATAATTACGATCAAAATTTTACTACAACAACAAAAATCAAACATTAATAAATAGTTAATTATTATAATGATGATTACCACTGAATTCAATTTCATAGCTTCATCTAACGCTTCTTGAGACTTAAGATCAACATGAGCAAATTGTTTTCCTTGCACATATCTAATATCAGCAATCTATATATGATGGAGAATTTAAAGCATCAGTTGGTTTTATGTTTATGAAATGTTGTCCATTATTTCAAAAAATTTTAATAATATAATAATATTTATAACAACAACAACAATAATAATAGACATACATCGTCACTATTAAATAAACTATAAATTTCTTCCTCTCCTGAGATTACTCCTGGCCAAGATACAAAGAGAGTATATTGATTACTATTATTGTTATTATTGTTGTAGTTGTTGTTATTATTCTATTTAATAAAAAAACAAAATGCGTATTATGTATATATTAATAATGATATTATATTTATTTTATGATAATAATAATGGCAAAAATTTACCTTTTGACGGTTACTGAAATTCATATTATTTTGATTATTTTGATTATTTTGATTATTATTGTTGCCATTATTTTGTTGTCTGATATTAAGATTATTAAGATTGTTGTTGTTATTATTATTAAGAGCGTTATTATTATTGTTATTGATAAATCTTTTTTGATTATTAAGCCTGTTCGTATTGTTGGCATTCATATTACTTGTGATAAAATGAAAAGGATTTTGATGACCCGGTTTATTTGTTGTAATAGCTGTAGTTTCATGACCTGTTGTATCAGTCTAAAATAAATGAATATATGTGTGAGCGGGTATATTATAAATATCGAATATTATATATAACATAATAATACACTTACACCGAATGATGGGGCACCGTTATTTTCAGAGTTTAAGGTTATGAGTTGAGGTTGGTGGGGATAAGGTTTTAAAGTAGTGTTATTGCTCGTTACTAAAGTATCTTCGTCTTTTTTTTTTTGGAAATTATCAATATGGAATATGTAATTAATTATTGATTGGAATTTTGCTTTCCCCTCATAAAAAATTAATTTTTTCAAAATATTTACCCTCTGATGACGATAGAACAATGTTGCTGTTATTTGTGTTTGGTGTGGAAGGGGGCCAAGTAAGACGAGTATGACTCTAAAAAAAATAATATAGAGAACAAATTGGCAATAGTTAATTTGATTAATTGATTAATCAATATTCAAATATATATATATCTTCGTGCATGATACATCTTTTCAAATAATAATCATCATCTCACCTCTGATAAATGTTCATCAATGGATTTTGATATTGTGACAAGCAATTTTAATTTATTTTCATCTATAAGATCCGACGTCTTCTCATCAGTATTGTTATACTATATGGGATTTTTTAATTTAGCATTTATATATAAATATAGTTTATAAATAATAATGACTATGTGACGTGATGATGTGATGATTGAAAATTTACCAATATTAATTTAGTATTTTCTTCTTGTAATGCATCAATTCTTTCATTTAATGCTTTAACTTGCTCGTTCAACTTTTTGATTTGTTCGTCTTTAGACTATTAATGATATGAATTATTAATTAACATTAATTAATTAATAATGATATGATCTTTATTATATAAATAAGTTACCGCTGAATTTTTTTTAATTTGCTCTGCTAACTTTGAAATTAAGTCAAATGGCTCTAAGACCTGTCATTTGATAAATAAATAAAGTATATACATATGAGCATAGACATATATATATGTATATATATAATATAAAACGAAATAAGATCAAATTGAGTAATAAAAAAAACTAAATATGTACCATATCATTTGAAGGGTCGTTAATAAGATTATTACTGAATTCCATTTTTTAATTTTATTTTATTTTAATTAATTTTTTATTATTAATTATAATAAAGTTGAGTGATTGAGGAGGAAAGAGAAATAAGAAGTCTCAAAATTTATATATAATATAGAGGAAAAAAAAGAAAGGAATATTTATCAAGGTAAATAAATAATAAAATGATTAAAATGAGTAGGAATAAAGAGGAATTTTATTATTGCTATTATTGGAATAATAAATTTTTCAGAAAGAAATATTTTCTGGTATTTTTATCGTTATTGGTTAGTATTAATAAATTTATTTTATTATAATGCAGTAATAATAAACAGAAAAAAAAACTTTGCAAATAAAATTTTTTCTTATTGTTATGTATACGGCTATTGTCATTTATTATTATTATATATTTTGACTAATATACCAAGGCATTACATTAATCAAAAACCAAGATACATCTAATATATTTAATTAACTGCATTCAATTTTAATTTTTTTTTGTATTACAATTAAATTATTTACTTTCTATATTATAATTACCATTTCTATTTTAAAATTTTTTAGAGTTTATAAATAAATGAAATTTTGGTGAAATCATTTGACAATAATAAATAAATAATTCCTAATAATATCCTCAATTATAGAATAATCGTAACGAATTGGCTTAGTGTTAGAGATCAGAAGATCATTAAATTTGGAAATTAGATTCAAAGAATAAAATTAGAATTTAGAGTAAATCTATTGTTATTATAATTACTATTACTATTGCTATCATCATCATCATCATCACCACCATCATCATCATCATCATATCATCATCATCATATCATCATCATCATTATTATAATCATGTCCTCTCGAGATAAACTTTTTGATCATTCACCCTATAATACGCTTATTTTACACATTACCGCCAACACACACATCACACTCGCATATTACTCGCATATTGCATACATCTGCACTTTTAATTTTCTAATTTGTCAATTAATTAAAAATTTTCCGATATAATATTTTAACATTTATTACCATATTAATAATATACAATAATAATGTATTTTCACACACATATAAGTGGTTGTTGATTGATATGTTAATACGGAAAGAGAGTGAAAGGAAGAGAGAACGAGGATGGAGGTAACTTTGAATGCCATTGGTTAACTTTTATTTCCAAATAAATATTTCAGAGCAAACAGATACAATTCTCACAATTTTTACTAGCTCAAAATAAATTGTGATTTTCAAAAAAGCCTAACTAATTTAGGATATGGGCATACAAAACCAGACAATTATATTACTATTGCGCAAAGATCTAAGGGAATAAAATATTCTAACATCACAATTGTAATATGATTACAATTTAACAATTTTATTTGTTATCTTCCCTTTTTCTTAAATGATATATAGAACTATATAAAAATAATTAATATGCATCAGATCCACTATGTAACCCAAGTATTACAGCATTATCAGAAGTATTTTGAAGAATGAACAAAGGAAAAATATCGCTCCTTATATCTTCAAATAAACATCTAAGGAAAGAAAGTGTTTACCTGTGAAATTTACCAAGAAGGAAAAATTGTAATCAATAAAAGAGAACCATAAAGAATTGCCCTATTTAAATCAAATTAGGTAACATAATGCCGATCATAAAATTATATCAGAGCCTTCAAGATAAAGGAGATACGAACATGAAACTAAAGGAGTTTTTAGATTACAGAGCGTTTTTGTAAATAAAAATTTTTTTTATTTATAGAAAAGACATTGAAAAAAATCGTTAATAGATATACTTTGTAACCAAATGGGCTAGAGCAAAAGGCTCTCTGTAACTTTATTATATATGGAAGACTTAAAATAAAAAGTTTAGTTCAATTTTATTATGAAAAAAAAAAAGTTATCACGGTTTAAAGTTATTTGATTTATTATTAAACTTTACCATAAAAAATTTCCATTGTAAATATATAACTGAAAAATTGATAGAAACTCCTTTTTATAATTCATGCTTTCAAAAAAATATATTCTCGTCAACATGAATATAAAGATACTAAAAAATCCGCACATAATAAATATTAATATGTTTGATGACAATAAAGAACCTAGAAAGAAAAGAAAAATAATTTACTACTTAACTTAGATTTAATTATCAGTATAGGTGAGCATATTTATACTATCTTTTAAAAATTTGACAAAAGAGGGTTGGTTTGGATTCCTTCAATTATTCTCTTTAGTATTAGGTGAATTTTATCGCTTATCGTTTTTTGTAATTCTTTGTAGTTTTTTCTTTTTATTGGTTATATAAAATTTTTGTTTTAGTTGCGGAATTTCTTGGCTTGTTAATTTATTTTTTGATTCTTGTTATCTCTAATTGCTCTAATTCCTCTACCGATTGTCTTTCTCTCCATTCTTTATAGCTAGTGTGTTTCATTATCTCTCTCAGCATTATCAGCTTGTTCTTTTCAGTCTTCAATAATTTGATTATTGTGCTACTTTCCTATTTCTCAATTATTTAATTTTTATCTGTTCCTATTTCTTCATCAGTTGGCGTGTGATGCTATTTCAGCAATGATTTTCTATTTTTTCTTTATTAAACTAATTATCCTTTAAACAGTCAGAAGTATTATTTAATGGTAACGATCTTGCATTCTTATTGGTCAATTTGATGATCAGCAAAGTAAGAATAGTCACTCGACCAACTATTAAAGATTTACAAAAACAATGACCAAATTTCTATTTATAAATCAATTGGTAGAATCTCAAGGGTCATTTTATATTAGGAAGTAATGAGAAAGTTTTATATATTAATATAGGAAAAAAAAATTTTTCGGCTATATATATATATATCAATAGCCGAGAAACCCATTTAAGGAATAATCATCCTAAATTGTGTGTTACGAATTAAATAATGGAAATAATGGAAATAATGGAAATAATGGGAAAGATAATGTATCCGACCCTCTTCATCAGTAATTGATTTAATTATTGAATAATAAAAAATTCTAAAAATGTTATCACTATTATACAAAATTTTAAACCTTGATATACAAATGTTTACTTTGTCTGGTTCTGTTGCAGTATGTTTCATATTATAATAACCGTGTTGATTAAATTAAGTAAATGGTATAGTAATAGTAAGTAATAAATTTTTTTTTTCGCGCCAAAAATAAAAATGGATCGGCTTCAATGACAAAAAATTTTTTTTGATCGTCATGGGGTAATGCACACTTCATTCCTAAAATTATTATTATTATTATTACGATTACTATTATTATTATTATTATTATTATTAATTTGACTTACTTTTTAGGGCATTTAAATTTTAAATTATTAAATTGCAGGGGAAGTGTATTAATTAACGAAAACTAGTAATCTTGTAATGGAATGGGATTTAACCAAATTGATAAATGAAATGAGATTTTTTTAATTATAAATAATAAACAAAATAAAAGTAAACAAAACAACAAACAGGTTATTTATAATAATGGCACTTAAATAATTGCTTACATCGTTATCACTGAGTAATTAATTAATTTAGATCATGACTACGTAGGCTATCGCTTAATTTTATATATTTCCATCTCGCTTTTCTCTTGTTTTCTTTATCTGTTCAATTTATCTGTTTATTATTTTTAGATCAAACTTTCTATTCATTACATTTAATTGCAATAGCAAACACATAACAAAGAAAACTAGAAATTATGAAAGACAAAATATGTCGATAATGAATGACAAACGAATTACAGTTAACCTAATACAACAAATTGTAATAACGATGATCAACAGCGCGTTTATTTATCGCGCGTTATTTACCGATAAACCAACCAATTTATATTGATTGATTCTTTAGGATCTTTCCTTTTCTTTCATTATTTCTTTCCTTTCTCATCAATTAATCAATTAATCGATGAATTGGTTATTTGGGCGTAAACTATGAATGCATGTTTTTTTGATTTAATTAAAATTTCAAAGCAAAGGAAAGAGCGGAAAACTTTGTTGTGATTGTTTCACGCATTTTTATTATTCTAATCAATAAATCAATTTGTAATTAATTAATAGTCTACACGTACATACACATCTTTTGCATATTCACGCACACATTTTACAAATAACCTGACCCTGATCCTGCCTGACCCTAGCTTTAAATCGTTATCATCATCATCACCATCACAATTGCTATCACAATAACCATCATCACCACAATCACCGTCACAATCGCAATCACCATCACAATCGCAATCACCATCACAATCGCAATCACCATCACAATGCAAGCGCGCACGAACCTATATTGTGATCATTTTGATATAAAAAACTGGATAAGAAATATTGCATGGCGTGATCAGAAATCATAAACGCTGCGTAATCCATGTATAATATTATTTTAAAAAAATTCACCGTAACAAAAAATCATGATATGGTGTGAACATGGATTTTTTTCTTTTTAGTGGTTGAAATTTATCAAGTTGTTTAAGATCACAGTTATTAATGTTTTTTTTTCATGCCTTTTAATTGTTCATATAATATAACATTATGTAAATGTTCCAGCTTGATTTATGGTTATTACATCATCATAAAGAATAAAAATTCTATTACACATTCTGGGCACAATATTTTTTTGGTTTAAAGATGTTCTTTCCTTACTATGTCAAGTTTTGTTATATCAGAGGTTCTATATGATGTGTTTACTTGATTCGAGTTTGATAGCATTTGATAATTTAGGCTTGAGTTTGATTAATTGTTTGATGAACATAAACTCACAACTGCAAGCAATTATTAATATGTTTATCAGTAAATTTTACTATAAGTTTTGTAATAATAATCACGCCCGACCGTGTTATTCATACTCTTATACTTGATTGAAACTATTTTTTTTCAATGATAAAATCTATAATCAAATCTTATTATGTCCACATCGATGTTGTAGTCTAGGTAAATAATTTAATCAGGATTGATAGTAATACTGATGCATGGCGATTAATTGTAACTAAAATTACCTATTGAAGAATGAATGTGTAGTTTGATATGATATGTAAAATAATTAAATACTATTTATTTATTTGTTAATGAATGCAAGAAAAAAAAAGAAATAAATTATAAAAACAATTTTTAAAATATTTTGGTTGCTTCTTTTTATTGCCACCACCATAACCTTCAACACCACTATCGTCACTACTAATAACATTGCCACCACTACAATATTGTCACCATTACTGCCATCATTTTTTATTTCATATGCATTGGCATAAACACTGAAGCATTACTGTCAACATATATTCAATTAAACTATTTGGTTGAATTTTTTTATTGATGATTCATCCTCATCATCTATTGATATAGTAGATTGTTGACCCAGTTTCTTTTGTAATTTAGCCTGTTCAATTAATTTACTAAGTAGGTGGCTTGTATAGAATGCATCCAAATGGTATTTATCTCTTGACATTTTAATTCTGCCAAGTTAATAATCTTTTCAAGTTGGTAATGATAATATTATGGAAACAACAATGAATTTTCCATGCAGTTGGTCCACTTTATGTATTTGAATCCCAACATTTTCAGCATAGAATTCAGGGGTGTCTTTGGTGATTTTAGGTCTCATTCTTCCCTGAATATCCATTATTAGGTAATGGTCATGTGGCAGATTATGAAAAGGTTTTTTTACCTGTGGTCAATTCCCACATAATCATCCCAAAATTATAAATGTCTGGTTCTTTTGTATATTGTTTACATGATAATACTTTAGGTGCCAGATATGGAATGACTCCAAAGATCTCATTTGGATTAAATTATTAAGTAAACCTCCATTTTTAGCATATTTAAATACCAACATATATTAATTTATGCTTAGATCTTTTGTAATGTCAAAGCATTTGTTGACAAGAAAATCCATTTTACTATTTGCTTCTAAATAAATTATAAATATAATTAAATTATTTATTATATAATATTATATAACAATAATCAATGTTACCTCTTTTAAAATATCCATAATTTTATCACTTGAGTTATATACTTTTTTTAATACTACATTTCCTTCCCAACTCCAAATTGCTTTATAAATTTCACTAAAGCCATCTTTAGCTAAATATTCAATATTTTTGAATTCATTAAAGGGAATCCATTCAATATCAATACATCTATTTTACATTTATAAAGAAACTTGGTTATTTCTTTATTTCTACAATCAGCTGCTAAGTTCTTACTCCCTCTGGTTTTTTGTTGAATAGTAAAGATATTCTTTGCAGTAGCATTGTAATTATTCACAATACACATCTAAACTCGATAAGTCGGACATTTATTTATATTATAAAGTACTTTAAACAATTGATTGCTGCGTCCGACTTGTCGAGTTTAGATGTATTGTTGAAATCTTTTACAATGATTGTTGTAACCTTTTTAGTAATGTTGTAATTGTTGACAATGATGGTTGTAACATTGTAATTATTCACAGCAGCATTGTTGAAATCTTTTACGAAAATTGTTGTAATCCTTTGCACCATGTTGTAATTATTATTGTAATCTTTTGTAACAATGTTGTAATTATTCATAGCATCATTGTAATCTTTTGCAACAGTGTCAGCGAAATCCTATTATGAATTCCGGGCATTCTGATAAAGTTTTATCAACGAACTTTTGTTACAACGAATTTAAATGGTCAGTTCCATACATTCGTTATGACAAGGTTAGACTGAATCAACTTATATCGAATACGCCGGTGAATTACATTAAAACGTAGCAATTAAAATATTGTTTTGTACAATTTCTTAGTCATTTCCTGTACCATTGCGTCCTCTACAATTTTCTGAGCGTTAGTGTTGTTTATTGTAATAATATTATTTGTGGGTGTAAAACTATCAAACGATAGAGACCTTATTTCATTTAACATTTCTGAAGCTAATTTCTTAATTGAGGTATTAATTGTGGCGTGGTTCAATGCCAAATCATGGTTATGTTCGTCACAAATGCTTGTAAACAGTTTTAGTTACAGGTATTATTAGCATCAGTATCTTTTTTTGGCTCATAAGTGCAGCTACATCTGCAGGCAAATGTTCTTTTTTTTTTTTTGCGATTATCGTTTTATCAAAATCCTTGTTCATTACCATATCGATAAATGAAATTTCCAATCTGATCCCAATTGTCAAATTCTTAATATATGTAAATTATTTATATATTGATTTTGGGTATCAAAATTGGTTTCAGATATCCAAATCTTTAAAAATGTTGGTTTGTAACAAACATTGATTTAGAATTGAATCAGATGCGGCAGTAACTTATCTATTTGGTTCACGGTCACTGATTAGTTTGGGTAGAGCAGGAGGATTTGATATTTTATGATGCAAATATTATATTTATTATTATTATATTTTAAATCTATTAGAATAATTAAACAAAGATGATTCCTAATATAACTAAATAATATATCAATAATCCATATTATCCTTATTAATACCAAACCAATTATTAGTTGACAAAGAAATTAATTGTTCAATTAAGTAATTGATCTAAATTATTATTATTATTAAATAAATAAAAAAATAAAATCATAATGATAATAACAATAAAATTATAATGATAAAATTTAATAAAAAATATGTAGTCAACTAAATAACATATCTCTGTTGGCAAAATAATATCTATTTTAATTCTGTACTAAACGCTATATCCCACACCTTACTCGTAATTCCATAACCTAATTCATAATTTTTATAATGATGAGCCAAATGGTAAGTTTTCATTGTTTTGAAATGGTCACCAAAAGGTTTAGCATGATGAAGATGGTAGTGTGTCAAATCATAACAAACATAACCAAATACTGCGCCAGCAATTATACCATGTGCTATATTTTCAGGAAATATCATTTTTCCTAATGTTATAATTGGATATGCAATTGCACCCCCAAGAACCGGTGGCATGACAAGTCTTAGTCTGTTTAATTATATTTATTTATTTATTATATAATTTATACGTTAGAAATATTCAACCAACTTCATATAATAAAATAATAATTATAAAATAAAAAATAAAATACTGACTTGTCCATAGGTAAATAATGGTGTATTCCATGCAAGGTGAAATGTATTGTAAGTGCATAAGGATGATCAGGTAAAAAATTGTCAACATGAAACAAAAATCTATGCAAAGTGTATTCTAGTAAAGTCCAAACTACAATACCGCATAAAAATAACATAAAAACTAGTAATGGATTTAAAGCCTCGGATGCCATGTATCCATGATAAACTGATATTGGAATCCATAAAATTGGAACAATGTACCAAGGCGTTTTGGTCAATAATTCTAAATAATCATTTCCGAATAACTTTGCTGAATATGGAAGATGGCGTGGTTGATGAATTTGCTTGAGATAAAATTCTTTGGTGAAATTACAATTAAACATTTGTAAAAATAATGGTTTTGTTAAATCCAAAAATTTTTCTTTTTGATAATCATTAACTATGTTTGTATTTTTTACTTCAAATTCATCTGCTATTTATTTTGATCAAATAAAAAAATAATAATTGTAATATTAGTTTCAAAAACAACAACAGAAACAAAAATTATTATTAGCGTTTACAATTATATAGTTGTTTTTTATTACCAGTTTGGACCACTTCTCCTATACATGACTCTAATAATACTTCATAAGCTATTTCAGAATGCAAATGTGAAGAAGGATCTGACAAGATGTTTGAAACATCTTTTCCTGCCCAGTCTTTAAGTAGCTCAGGACCTCCAGGATGATCGGTTACAAAGTCTGTCAGATCATATACTTTTTTATTGTGGATTACCCAAAGGTCAGAAATGTCATTGTGTCTTGCCACTTCTTCAACGGTATATCTGAAAAGTATGCGTCCGGGCATTTTTTTTTTTTTTTGTGATTCACAAAGCAAATAAGTTTTTTGGGTTATTGACTCTTTATAAGTGGGCTGGTAGTGGGCTGGACTGATGGCAATAAAAAATCTATCGTTAAATTTTTTTTTAAATAATGTTACACGATAAGTCGAATGTTATTATATAGATGATCGTGATCCCCGGATCTATAATGGATTACCCATACATGTTAATATTAATATATGGGAGAGAAACCTTTCTTTTATATAAAAATTTTCAAGGTTGGATGCATTCTAATGATAATTATTCTATAATGGATGACAATGAACATATTTAAAGGTAACTCATTTATAAAATATTTTATTTTATTAAAAATAAAAGGTAATGATTTTTGAATGCCGTTTTAAAATCCAACTTTATATTCATAAATCTTTTTAATATAATATGTGCCGGCACCAATTGATAAAATACTTAATGTTAATGGGATTGGTTTCTTTGTCTTGATTGCTCTTGGAATCATTGATCCTGTCAAAACAGTCGATGCAGCTTATAATAATATTAATATATGATCATGTGATAAATAATATATTAATATAATATTCATAATGATAAATTTCTAATATAATTAATTAATTAATTACCGAGAGCAGTTTCATGTCCATAATCTTTATTATTTTCAATTAAATAACTTTTTTAAAAATAAATTTTTAATAAATAAAATCTTTTGATTAATTATTAAATTTTTCAAATAATTTTACCCAGCTATTAAATAAAGTGAAGATACTCCTAGTCCTGCTGTTAATGAAGGAACTGATCCTTTTTTAGCATAAGCTGCAATCCCTCCGATTGCACCTATCCAATAATAATCATTTTATTACTTTTCATGATGAGTTATTATTGATTATTAATTATTAATTATTAATTATTAATTGATTGATCTTACTTACATATAGCTCCCATTGTGTAAGAAGGATGATGTGACATTATTTTTTATTTTTTTAAAAAAAAAGATTTGACGAAGGAAAATTTTTTTGAAGATTAAAAATAACGAGATGATTCTTTTACGTCATGCTTTTGTTGTACGACAAAGTGTTGAGGTTACATAATTTTAAAAATTAAAAAATCGTTGAAAATTAACTGCTGATAATTTTTTTTATAAAATAAAAAAAAAAACTTTAACAAAAAAGACACGAAAAAATAAAAACAATTTCTTAACTCTCTTTAAACATTTGCGATTTCGAATTCCCACTAATACTAATATTATTAATTGTTCATAATTTTGTTTTATATATATATATATATATCCATTTTCAATAATGGAACCAGAGGCATCTACTTCAAATCTTTATACAACAACAAATTCAAATGATCTTAAAACCATACCACTTTCCAAATTCTTACAGCTTTGTCCTGCAAATTTTGATTATAAACTGTCAGAGGATGCTAAACAGAAAATACTAGGGAGATTGTTTTCTGAATTTTGGAAATCAAATGAAGATTACAGAGATTTATTTTTTCCAAATGGTTTTGGTGATGGCAATTATGAATATAAGCTTAGTCTGGCTCAAAGTTCTAATGTAAATAATCATTCCCTCGAAAAAGGAAGACCTTGTGGTCATGTATTCAAAAAAGGTGAAGGTGTTTATAGATGCAGGTATGAATTAGTTTTAATTTGTGATTAAAAGCGTACAAATATATAGATTTTATTATAGTCAAATTAAATTAGATTTAAGATAGATATTTATAATTAATCTTAGTATTATTAATATTGTTTACAAGATAGCTAACATGTCAAGGTTATTGTACATCTTATTATTGCATTGCATAGAGATTGCGCAATTGACGGAACATGTGTTTTCTGCACTCGTTGTTTTCACGCAACAGATCACGAAGATCACGACGTTATTTTTTCTATAACTACTAGTTGGAGTGGATGCTGTGATTGTGGTGATCCAGAGGCTTGGAAAGTTCCTATTCATTGTGCTTATCATTCACCCGAGATTACAAATACTTTGGATTCAATTAACAGTCGAAATTTACCAACTGATCTATTAAATTCAATTCATGAAGCAATATCCACTGTGCTTGTCTTTATGATTGATACTTTATCTGCTTCTCCCGAAGAAAAATTGCCTCCTAGTGAAGTAGATCAAGTTAAAAAAGAGGCAATCGAATCGAGCTACTCTATTCGATATCTTACCACTACTCCAGATGAAAAATTGTTTGCCATAATACTTTGGAATGATGAAAGTCATTCTTTCAGTGAAGTCATTGATCAACTTGCTGATGCTACTGGTTGCACGAAGGATGCAGCAAAATCAATTGCTGAAAGAGTCGATTCATATGTACGTCGAAAATTTATTTTTATATTTTCTACTTCGATTTTATTATCATTAAATGAAATTTATTTAACCAACTTTATGTTAATTAAGAAAAACAATTTTTTTATAAATAAATAAATGTATATTATACACACACATACATATGCTTCTTCTTTTTTTTTTTTTGAAAATGTCTTATATAAAATTTTATAAAAATGTTTTCAGGGCCGTGACATAGTAGAAATATCTGATGATATTCCACGCCTTCTTAGCATTGCTCGTACCATCTCTTCCATAGGTTTAGCTGTTACAATTCGTTCAGCCAGAGATACCTTTCGTGAAGAAATGTGCGGCCTATTTATTGATTGGTTGAAAGATCTTGCTAATGGCATGGTTGGATCAAACATTCATGTGCTAAGAGAGATAATCTGTGAAGAACTATGTAAAAAATGGAAGAAACCACTTGTAAAAAAAAATTCAATTTTTAAGCTCAATGAAAAAATTAGACTTTTCAATAAAATTTTTTTATCTCAGGATGAAAGATATGAAAATGAGGATGTTGATTCTAATCAAATGAGCGATGGTGACGAGGCAATGGAATGTTATGATGACGACGACGATGACGACGACGATGAAGATGATGACGACGATGACGATGATCAAGATGACCGTATTGTTGAAACTGGTTCGATTGATGAAATGTCAACGGATGAAAGATCAATCGATACTACTACAGAACCAATGGAAGAAGATGAGTCGCCCACTTCATTATACAAGGCATCAACTACAAATCAACTAGCCGAAGACTTTAATAAGAAATTAAGGCTTGATAAATTATTTCTTTTGGACTTTAGACTTTGGAAAGAAGCTCGATCTGGTCTAAAAAAATTGTATATCAAAACTTTAGCTACTGACCCTGAATATAAGAAAATAATGGGTAATTTTTTTTATAACAAAAAAAAAAAACTAATCATACATTATAAAATTCTAAAAATTCTACAAATCCATTTTATTATTAATAGGTATACGATTTGCTAGAAATTACGTGAAAATTGCCAAAGCCTTTCTTACTCCTGATCGTGAGCCTGAATATTCAATTATACTTTTTTCAATACAACTTTTTCCTATCGCAACAATATCATCAATACTTGTTAACAAATATCATTTTCTTAGTACAATATTTGCAGTGTTTCACACTTTTTTCACATCAGATGCTGTTGGAGATGTAAAAGATATTGATCCATCTGCCAGAATTAATTGTGAAGCTCCTAGTTTTAAAAATAGATGTTATTTTCATATATTTAGTGATTTCAAAAATATAATGAGCACCACAGCTGTAAAAGAGTCAGTTCATAGACATTCACAATATTTAGTTCAATATCTTAACTTGATCACTCTGTTTCAAGGAATGAATCCCAACGTACGTGCTACCCAACAACATGTTGAATATGAGACTGAAAGTTGGGTGAATGCTTTCAATGTTACGTTACAAATAGCAAAAAGTTGTCGCCAGTTTTCTGAATGTTATACAGTGAATACAAAGGTCTTGTCTATAACAATACGTAAAACTTTAAAAAAATTATACGAGTGGTGTGCAAGACATGTAGAAGATGACATGGATAATATGGATGAAACAAATGACGAACAACAGGTGACAGATACAAATTTCAATACTAACGAATCATATGCCCCCTTTTCAAGAGATATGAAATATTCATATTATACCAGAATAGAGGATTCAGAAGACAATTCGATTATGTTGCGCGATTCAGATTTTCATGATGTAATGTTTCCACAGAATCCATATTCGCCCACTTACAGAGTTATAAAGTTTGATGTCTCGTCACAGCCTGTCAGTTTTCATCATCCATTGCATTGGTTTCTTGCTCAGTTAATTGAAAATGTTGAATTGCTGGATGAAGATTTGTTGAAACAAAATGGTTGGGATAGCTTTCAAAATATGGTGATGGACATTAATTCTGAAAATGCAGATGATTCGTCTATAGTGATACGAGCTCGTGAAAAAATGTTGGCAATACTAGATTATCCTTTAAGAGGTAATATTTTTAATGGACCTTTTTGTGTGTAAATGGAAAATATATTAACTATTACTATTACTATTACTATTTCTAGTATTGGTATTGTTAGTGCAAATAAGAGCAGGTCTATGGGTTCGAAATGGTTTTGGTATTCGTAGTCAGGTATAGTATATTATATAATAAATCTAAATTTTATTATTATAATACCAAACAAAGTATCTTTAATATTTAATCTTTTTTTTTTTTAAATTAAAAGTGTCATCATTATCGGGATGTCTCTCTTCGAGAAAATACATATGATGAAGACGTTTTCTTAATTCAGACTGCATTTATAATTTTGGATCCTGACCTTGTTCTTGCCACAATTTTAGATCGATTTGACCTTATTGATTGGTTCAATGGAAAAAGCTCTCACAAAACATATGATTCTACACAGTTAACTTTTATTGTAGAAGAACTTTTAATACTACTCATCACATGTGTAAATGAACGAACAAATGCTGCTGGTTTGAGCATCGAAGAGGAAATCAAAAGTGAAATAATACACAGTTTATGCCTTGGACCATTGGCTTATTCCGAACTTTCTAAACGTATACCAGAACGCCTTACACAAAGTACATCATTTGACAAAGTCTTACCAGATCTTGCCAATTATCGATCACCGGATAGTCTAACAGATAATGGATTATATGAATTAAAAGACCAGTATTTTGATGATGTAGATCCTTACTTTATGCATTACTCGCGTAACAATAGAGAAGAGGCTGAAGATGTTTTGAAAAATAGGTCAAAGAAAAAAATGGATGATTCTGAAAAGGACAAAACTCCATTGATAATTCCAAAGCTTGTACCTATAACCAAGGGACCTTATGTAAAATTAGGAAACATATTACATGTGAGATTGATGAATCAAATTATTTACTATTCTTTATGGAATGTCAAAAAGGATAACAAAATCAAATCTGACACAATTATGGAAGAAGCTCTACATTTGATCATCTTGGCCTTATTAGATGAAAATAATGATGCAATAAAGGAATATAAACGAAAAGGAAAACAAAAGGCATCAGATAATATTTTATCAACAAATGATACTTATTATCCTACAGGATTTATGTATTATGCAGTATCTGATCGTTTCCAAGATCCTGATGTTAATATAATGAAGTCGCCAGTTTCTACTAATACTCTATTAGATTTGTTATTAGACTTATCCTCAAATTCAAATTTCAAAGACTACCATCATAAAATAAATTATATTTTGGACCAATTTGAAAAACATAGTAATGAAAATGTGAGATTTGTGATCAGTAATCATCGTGAAAAATTGAATGACAAACTACAAACTAAAGGTAGTGAGGATACCGAACTTACCGAACAAGAAAAGAAAAAAAAAGCAGCCAAGGAAAGGCAAAAAAAGATAATGGAACAATTTGCTAAAGCACAACAAAGCTTTATAGATAAGCATGAAAGTTTTTACGATATTGATGAGGGCATGTATGATGATGAATGGGAAATAACTACTGATGAACATTTGGAGGGTGACTTGTCAAAAGAAACAATTTGGCCATTCCCAACAGGAACTTGTATAGTGTGTCAAGAGGATACCAATTCATCATCATTATATGGAATGCTGGGATTGATTCAACCGTCTACTTTGATGCGAAGAACTCCATTTAATGACAATGATTTTGTTTTTGAAACCATTAATTTACCAGAGAATTTAGATAACAAATATGATAGAAGTATGCCTTATGGTGTTGCTTCGTCTCTATATTCGGCTGATGACAATTCATCAAAATCATCACGTGTATTGTTAAGTAAAGGATTTCCTTCAGATTCATGTAGGCTAGGAATGTATGCGTCAACATGTGGACATTTAATGCATGTAAAATGTTTTGATAATTATTTCTTATCTTTAGAACAAAGGCATCAATTACAATTGACCAGAAATCATCCAGAAGATGTGAAACGTAAAGAGTTCTTGTGTCCTTTATGCAAAAGTCTAGGAAATGTATTATTCCCAATAACGTGGAAAGGGAAAAAGGAAGTATTTCCTGGTGTGCTGGAAGTACAAGAAGATTTTGGGACATGGATAAATAGTAAATGTATGGCGGGAATGACGAAATTAAATTCATTTGCACAATCATTAGATCAAACAGTTTTTAATGAACCACCTAGGCGATACACACAAAATTTAAGAAACTCTTTTGATGTTAGAGATTTGGCTCAGACAACTGGATTTTCACCTTTGGCTCAAACACAAAGACGACGTAATAGTAGTGGAGCTGGTAGATTTATTTCACAAATAGTTCATATGTTGAGAACACCGACTCAACCAACAGATGATAACACTGGTGGTCCAATTATTGGTGGTCCTGGTGACGAATTCCAACCAAATATAGTTGCTGCATCATCGTCATCAACATCAGCAGCAGCATCAAGAAATGATGGATTAGATGAGGATCGTATTATAACAATTCGCATGTATGATCTTTTGGCAGAAGTTGTGGAAAAGTTAGTCAGTAGTAATAAATTGGAAATAACTTTTCAGACTACAGAGAAGTCTTTAAAACATATTGAGTACATGTGGGATCTATTTGGATACACAATATCATGTATTGAGATAAGCCAGAGAGGCGTTGGTAACTCGGTTAATGAAAATCAACAAGTCACAACATTAATGAATGGAATCAATTCACAGACATCAACACTGCTTAGAATTCTTTCTGAAACACTAGATTCATATTTAAATATAATGTTAGCAGGCCAAGAGTACGAAGTAAGATTGAAACAGATAGCAACACATCGTCTTCAACAAATATTCTATGAACATCCGCTTCTACAGCCAAATAAAGCAGAACAAGATATAATATCAAATCCATTACCTGATAGTACACGAAGGATCAACGGACTATTTGATAAAAGTTTTCTTTTCACAAAAGTAAAACCTTTATTACTTGAAGATCCTTTCTTAATACTTGTTGAGTTATGTATGTACACAGTCACAGCACTGGATTATGATGTACATCATTTGATGCATTTATTATTCATAGCAGAAATTGCCAGAACAATTATTTCATTAATTGAATCTACTTTTAATGAAAACACAAAATCATGGACGGAAGATCCACGACTAAAGGAGCTTTTAAAAAACCAACAACAACATCAACAAGTACAACAACAACAAGAAGAACAGCAGCAACAACAGCAGCAAAATAAAAAACAAAAAACAAATGGTACACAAGGTTTTAATAATAATTGTTGTTATAATGATAGCAACAATAACAACTCAATAAGAAGTTTCACTTTCTGGATTATGAGACAATTGGGATATAACGATCAAATTATATTAAAATTTTTAAATGAGATTGGCGATCAAATGTTTGCAAAAATCATAAGATCATTTAGTTTACCATATTTGAGGAAATGTATAATATTATTACACGCAAGGTTTGGTGTTGTGTTTCCAAGTTCTGAAACAGAGAAACTCAAAACTGATGAGATAGAATTCGTTAGGCTATGTAAATTGTTGAGACTTCCTTCAATGTTAGAAGAAATTTGTGCGATAAACACCGATACAACAACGGATTTTACAAAATTAGCAGTTATTGCAGGTTGGTGTCATCACTTGTTTGTGCTTCGACAAGAGTTATCACTACCCTTCACACAATCAGTCACAACGCCAATAGATAGAAATAATACAACAAACTTGCTTGTATCAAGCAGCGTGGCCATTCGCAGTAGCTCACAAACATCAGCGAATGACCCATATTTCATAGATATTCAACTTAATCATCCAGCTATATTTGAGCTTATTGGTTTACCAAAAAGGCTAGACTTTTTGTTTGAAGAAAGCATGAGAAGAGTGTGTAAAAAGTGTAATACTATACCAAATGAACCTGCATTGTGTTTATTGTGTGGTGCATTTGTTTGTAGTCAGAGTTATTGTTGTTTTGAATCAGAAAGAGGTGAATGCAATAATCATGCTAGAAGGTAAAATGAAATTTGATAACTCATTCATTAATCAATGATTAATAATTAATATTAACACAAAACGTTTCATTTCCAATTTAGTTGTGGCGGCGATAAAGGGATTTATCTATTAGTGAAAAAATGTGTATTATTATTACTTCATAACGATAATGGATGTTTTATGAATGCACCATATCTTGACACACACGGAGAAGTTGATCATGGATTAAAGTAATTATTATTATTGTTAGAACTATTCGTTTAATCAATAATATCTATTGCTAATTATTTTATTTATTATTTATAATATTTTCTAAGACGCGGCAAACCTCAATATCTTAATCAAAAAAGGTATGACGAAATTCGTAGATTATGGATAACGCACGGTGTTCCAGTACAAATTGCAAGAAAAATTGAACAAATATTTGATGTTGGAGGGTGGTCAACAATGTAATATATATCAAACCTTAGTTGATCGATCAGTTAGTTATTAATAGCAATAATAATAATTGTAACAACAGTAATAGTAGCGAGCAGTGTATATCTTTTTACATTATTGTTATTATTATTATTATTATTAATATTTAATTTCTATTTTCTTTTGTTAAATATTTAATTTTTTTATTTTACTATCTTTATTATTATTATTAAATAAAATCCTACTTTTTCTAAGAAAAGAAGTGTACCATCTTTATTATATTGATTGTTGGGTCATCCGGGTCACTTTTTTTTGAAATTTTCTTTCACGTGATCAAATAATATTAACATTTCTTTGCCTTTTGACTATTTGGACTAGAGTAATAATAATAAAATTCACATTGTTCACCACAAACAAAACATATCTTATTTACATGAATAATATTAAATTTCCATGCTACTTTTGCGAATTTAATTTATCATTGACTTTTACTTTTAAAAATAATCCCGAGAACTCATCTTGTTGAACTTCTGAGGTTAAGCCTTTGAAAGAGTTCCCGCAAGTGTACTGAATGCCATCTAAAAATCTACTTAATTTAGCAGATTCTTTATGGTCAAGTTTCCATTTATCTATCACACGCATTCTCCGCATTGATACTGACATTTTTTGCACATTGTGCACTATGACTAAACCTCATTCTTCAATAATGGTTACATTTCCATCTAAGGAATGAATTAAATAAAGAAGTGGATGAGAAAATAAATAAAGAGATAATGAAAAAATGGAAATGTTATAATGACAAAATGAAGAGGTGGTGAACAAAGAAATAAATAGAGGTGGATAATGGATGAAAAGATAAATGTGAAAATTGACGAAGGAGCGGATGAGATAGTGAGAAAATGAAGAAATACTGACGAAGTCCTGCCTAACAAAATATTCAATAATTAATTAATTATCTTTTTTATTTTATTATAATATAATAAACCTTTTACAGCTTTTTTATTCTTGTTAAATGATGATATTAGGTAGCCTTTTGGGTTAATGCCGATTACAGGTTAACTTTTGGGCAAATAATTCAGCACTTGTCAATAATTAGTTTACGAATTTACTTTTGCTCTTGCTTACCGCCACTTTCTTGTACCTAGAAAGCTTCGATGAATCTATAAGCGCACTTGATGGTACCGAATAACTGTAAATAAAAAAATGGCTCTTTACAAAGCCCAGTCAAAATAAAATTAGATCACATGATTTTTACAAAAAATTTTCGCTGATATTTTTATAATGAATATTATATAGTGAGCGCCGACTAAATGAAGGTTGAAGGCGAAGGATAAAGAATGTTGTAAATAGTGAAAAATGTTTTGTTGTGAGAAAATCAGAGAACTCGAAGATCTTGTTGTTTGAAAGGAAAGACCCAATTTATCTTCTGGAGAATTTGGGGATTTTCAACTCCTATTTCCAACACTGAATGTTGTGTGTGTTAACAGATATTATTTAGTTTAAATCTATATTTAAAAAATTTCATATCTTTTCTTTTTTTGTTGTTACTTGTTTACAAATAAATATGTCAAGTAAAAAAATCATAATTTTCGAGATTTTTTAAGAATGATTCAAAAGCTATTTGTATTTGTTGTATGCAAAGGGCTGGGGTTTAGCCATTGCACAAATAACATCTGGATGCTTTACTACAAATAACGCAAAATATGTTGCAACCACCTTGCTAATTGTGAAAATTTTTAAGTCAACTTATGCTGACGAAAAAACTCAAGAATTTTGTGCCCGAAGACTCAAAAAAAAAATAATTAAAAATTTTTTTCCAGTCAAAAATTTTTGATCAATTTAAAACTTGCTATATTTTACAATACTTTCCATGCAAAAACTTGGTCATTTTCAGACGTTACCGTGTATTTTTTTTTTTTTGAATATCGTTACGTAACCTGTTGATCGAACAGCTCTTTGCCAAAAATTTCAATGCTTCCAAAATATATCTTCTTCCAAACAATCTTTCAATTGTTCCAAGGGGACAGAGATCGATTTCTAATTGACAGAGTGATTCATTGTCAGAAGAAGGAATTCATTTTAATTTAAAAATTAATAACCCCAATAATGAACCACTTCTCTCACGTATTATAAATGATTCATGCAGATCTTCCTTGATATATAAAAAAAGATTCATAAAAATTTTTAAAAAAATGATTTTTCAAAGAAATCTATTGTTCAGTTCGAGACTATCAAATTTTTCATCGTTGATAGGTACATAGAAAAAGTATTGTTTCTAAAAATTCATTAATCAATCTCTCTTTTTTATAATTCAAAAAAATTAAACACAAAGAAAGATATTAACCCATCAAGATCTATATATGTGATATTATGTAATAAAGTTAATCGATGTAGCATATATACCACCTCGCCAGCTTTGAAAGGAGGACTTCGTTCACTACAAAAAACAAAAAAGCATAAGGCAGAAAAACAACGAAAATTAGAAGAATCATCAAAAAAACCAGACCCAATTGTAGGAAGACCCACACCCTTCACCCGATCATTACTTAAACCCGATGAAATTTTCAAAGTGGCATCAGCAGCGTCGTCAACTACTACCACGGCGTTAAATACTCCTTCTGGTTTTAATAATTTTTTACTCAATAAAAAAGATGAAAAATTTTTATTTGAGATTACACCTAAAGCTGTTGCAGCAACTGAAACAACAACTGACATTAAGAATCCGCCCACGATTTTAGATTCTGCAAATAAAATTGATGATGAAAATAGCAGTACTGAGACTTTAGATGGAAAATCTTTGGAGATCAAAGTACGTGAAAAAACTGAGATTGAAAAAGTTCAAGTGTTAAAAAAACTTGTAAGTTTACAAAATTCAGATGCCAAGGCTATACAGTTGTATAATATACAAAAGGCAATAGAGGAATTTGGCGGAAATGAGAGAAATACAGGAACACCAGAAGTTCAAGGTATTTTTGTTTTTACAAAGATTTATTTACATATATATAAATACATGTGAAATAATCTTTAATAAATAATAATTGATTAATGTTTTTACTAAAACATATAATATATTTAGCCGCGGTATATACTGTTCGAATTTTAAATCTACATGATCACTTCAAGAAGTTTCATAAAGATCTTGATAATTATCGTTCATTAAGACATTTAGTACATAAAAGACAAAAGATTTTAAAGTATTTAAAAAGGGTAAATTTAGAACGATATTATAAATGTCTCGAGAGATTAGGATTGGATGCAAGTGTTATCGAAGGAGAAATTGTAATATAAATAAAATAAAATTTATATTATTAATTTTTACATTTAATATATTTATTTATGTTTTTCACAAATAATAATAAAATAAAATGTTTTTTGATGTATATATTATTATATTATTTATCTATAGGATGATTGATGTATTATATATTGTTTATAGAAAGAATAATGTCTAAATTTTTTTTAAATATTATAAAATTAAGGTTAATTATACAAATGTTGGAAATATTAATTATAAATAATAGTAATAATAATAATATTGTGTGTTTGATTGAAGATTAATTAGTAATTATAATATATTTTTTGATTTATACTGGTAATTTAGCACCTGTTAATTTATCTACAAACTAAGGACAAAAGAAAATAAATAAATAATCAGTCAATTAATTATTGTTTGATTTATCTATTCATTATGAATTTTATTTTACCTGTGCAATTCCTGGTGCACTAAGTATATTTCCAATTAAAGGAATTCTTCTAAGAACTCTTACTATAACTGGGAAAAAATCACTAAGAATCAATTGTAATAATGATGTTATTATTATTAAAGTTAATGATCTTGTATAATTAATTCAAAGTATCAATTAAGAATAGTCTTTTTTTTCTATTTACCCAAATAAATTGAAAACCCCAAAAAGTTCAATAATTATTCCTAGGAAAGGCCATTTAACAAATACCAATACAATCCCACCAAAGAAACATATGGTTCCACGAATTTTATCTTTACGTGAAAAAAAAGCAATCGTTTTATCAAATCCTATAATTAATAATATTCCTGATAAAAATAGTATCTTTAATAATATATTTTATAAAGGGAAAATAAATTAACGAATGACTAATTAAGTTTATCAAAAAAAGTTATTATTTAAAATTAAAATATGAAAACATACATTTCCGATTGCCAATAAGCCACCATCAAAGAATAACACAACACCAAGGAACATAAATAATGTTCCGAATGCTGTTAAACCAACTCCAATCTCTTTATATTTAATAGAAAACAAATATTGTTATGAATCGTTGTGATTACAGAAAAGGAAAATCTGTTGAAATTTACATACTTTGAGTATCTGATAGCCACATCTTGAATTATAAAAAAATAATTTTCAAAGAAAAAAAAATATAATAATAAAAAAAACGTGCCCAATTTTGAGTTGGCTGTCAATTAAATTATTACTATTATAAAATTTACTATTATAAAATTTACTATTACTATTACTATTACTATTATAATTATTATTTTACCGAATCCGAATCAAGTACGACATAACGTTAGAATTAATTTTTTGATCAAGAATTCATTCATTCATTATTTTATTTATTTATTTATTTATTTATTTATTTATTTATTATTTATTTATTTATTTATTATAAAATACAATGTATTCTTTAGCTTCTAGACTTTATAATAGTGTATTCAGCGATCCCACCGAACAAAATTCTGCAGTGGACAATGAGCAAGAAAGTGATGTAAAGATAGAGGCGACTTCTTCAAATTCAACCAACAATCCTGAAATCGATGTACCCATAACTATTAATTCAAATCTTGTAATCTCGGTTAATGATGGTAGAAAACACTTTTATACATACATACATATACACGCATGGTCCAAACCGACGTGATTAACTACTAATTTTGTTGTTAATTATAACAGAGTCAACAACAACATTTCCAATGATAAATAGTCCACAACGTGCCAAATCACCAATAAATCCATCAGCATCATCATCATCATCATCATCATCATCACTAACAGTAAGCAAGTCTAAAAAGTTGACTCCTATAGAGAAATCTAATAAATTGCGGAAAAAAATTATACTAGAACCTGGACATTCATCTCTGGATTGGGCAAAACTTAAGAGTAGTGGAGTCGATTTAAAAGTAAGATATGTTATGTGTTTGTTTGAACGGGATTGCTAATTAATTTATGACTAATATTTTTTATTATTAGGGAGTTTCAGAAATAAGAAATTATACACTTGAAGAATTAAAGAAACATAATAGAAGAGATGATGCATGGTCAGCGTTTAATGGAAAGATATATAACATTACTCCATATATAAAATTTCATCCTGGTGGTTAGTATAGAAATGGATGGCGTATTTTTTAATGTAGTTTTCAAATTAATAAGATAAGATGGCAATGGGAATTAAATTTATGTGATGTGTAAAAAAAGAAGAAATTAATTAAAAAATCTTTGTAACTGAACTTTTTAGGCGAAAAAGAATTAATGCGAGGAGCAGGAAAGGATGGAACAAAATTATTTAGTAAGCAGGCTCATTTGATAAATAATTTTTTTTATCATTTTGTTTTTTGAAAAGATGGATGAGAAAAATTAATCTTATTTATTATTTATTAATCAGTGGATATTCATGCATGGATTAATTATGAATTAATGTTAGATGAATGTTTTGTTGGATATCTAGTTGGTGGAAGTCATAATTTATTAGTTGGATAAAAAGATTTTTCAAAGAATAAAAACAATTATAAATTATAAAATTTATAAAATTAAAAAGCTTTATTTCTTTCTGTTTAAATAATCTATAATTGATTATATCTTTCCCTGTTCTTTTAATTCTTTTTTTTCTTTATCACTAAGAGTCCAAAATGAATCCATCTTACTTTTGTACCATCTTCTAATCTACAAATTAAAATAAATTATTTATTAAAAATAAAATTTTTTTTTAAAGCATAAAAATACATGTATACATATATATATATATATATATATAACTACCGGTATAAAACAATGATCTTTTTGATCAAAATCTGCATATAATACTAAATATACACCTGTAACTAAAAATAGTAAAAGCACGAATGAATCGATGAACTAAACTAATTAAAACAACTTGGTCAATTTAGTTTTGAATGGAAGATAGTTTTCTTACCAAGTGTTATTCCTACGCTAAATATATAATATGGCCTGGAATGTGGGGAAAAAAGTGGAGCTTTGTTAAATTTAATACTATTGTTACCAATAATCTGTTTACTACGAGCTTCTTGACGCAGTGTGTCAAGTGTATTGTTATTATTTTCAGAAGTCATTATTAATTTGTTAATATTTAATATTTAAAAAGTAGCTTGTCAATTAATAAATTTTGCTTATCATCCAATCAAATTCGTTTGATATAGTAAAAATCTCCGTCGTATCATTTATTACTACTATTTAACAAACTATTTGATAGACTGAAAAGAAAAAAAGAAGATGAGCTAAGTGGAAATAAAGAAATAGCAAGATTTCTTTTATGTATGTAAAAAAAATATACAGAGGATATACATTATATTGAATTGATTCCATTTATGAATTCAAAAATATTGAAAATGTGGTTTTAGTGAAGTTCGTAAAGCCGTTTGGATTATCAGTGATAAAAATTAAAAAAGAATATATAACTCAAGTGATACAATTTTATGATTTTCTCCCGCACTTTACACTTTAATTATATCCGTATATCGTCCTTTACAAAAAAAAAATTACTCTCTATATATTTATTTTTTGCTCTAAAAACTTCTCGGCGCAAAATTAGAAGTACTGCGACAAATAATATCGCAATATTAATTACTTGAATCTCAACCTAACAGAGAATATGTGATAATAATGTCGAAAAAAAGTTTGTGATTTGATCCAATCATTGGAAAATAGATGCAAGTTAATTTTATTTTATCATTGTTCGTGGAGGTTCCCATCCAATGAATTGATTTGACCGAATGTAATACATTCTCATTCATCTAATTAATTAAATTTAAATGGAAGAAGAGCCTTCAATCACTATAATAGGAGAAAGTAATAAATAATACAATAATGAGAAGGGATGAATTTTCTACTGCTCATATTTTGAAGTAAAGGATGGTTCTAAGAAGTCAAGTTTTAGATATGGAACTTGATGGAAAAGACTGAAATTGTAAAAGATGGAGAAAAATTTAAAGAAGCTATTTGTCAATTCAATGTCTCTGAAGTTTTGATATTATTTTTCCTTGTAATGTTTTAGTATGTGTTGGTGAATCTACATCTAATTATATTACACACTTAAAACTTGATCCACTCTTATTTGAAAAGATTTTTTTTTTGATAAATAAATTTAGTTTTTGTTAACAATGAATATATTTTAATTATTCACCAAATGATTATCTGAATATTGAATTTAATTGATTGAATGGATATAAAACGAATGAATATTCAATGGGCACAACTTCTATTTGTTCGAACGTGTTGTTGTAATTATCAATTGATAGGTGCGATTATAGTAATCTGATGTAATTAATTAAATTGATTTTTAAAATGTTTTCATAAAAACAATGACATAACAACAATTATACTTCAGGATCGTTTAATAGTTTAGGATAAGTCGACATCAGAAATATTGCTTTACAGCCACACAAGATAGAAGAAAAAACGCTATAATTTTATTCTACAATACTAAGGAACGATGTAATAAAGAGTTTTTCTAAAAAAAAATAGAACCTTTTACAAATTCTAGTTTCATCTGTTGGTTGAGATTCTTCAATAACACATCTAAGCAAGTAAGGATTTTGACGCAGCACTCTATTTCTTCCATATTCTATTTTATTCCAATGCATCAAGTGCAAAGGCTCTCAACTGTTAGAATTATCACTCATTTTCAAAGCACGGGAAGGACATAAGGTCATGGTCAAATTTGTCAAACTCAAACTGCCAAGAGTAGCTATATTTGCTTGGGTGACCGTGTGGGTTTCTCAGCTTTTGACAAAATGGTTTGGAGGAAAGAGTGACAACTTGGAGACTTTCCCAATTACTTCATATTTAAATAGAACCCTTGTATATGACTATTCGAATCGGTACTGTTATATGTGAAATTGGAAATTAAAATCTATAATAACAATTAAATGTTTGGATGCGAAATTCCTTTTGATCGGGTTTATCTAATTTCACATATTAATATGTGATTTGCGAATTCCACATAGATTTCATTTAGATAGTGTCAAAATTCCCTTTATATATTTAATAAAAATACAACCTGTTAAAAATATCTTTAATATGAAATATATATTTTTCGAAAAATAAATTTATCGCAATAATAATATATGAAAAAAATAAATTACAAAATCCAAGTATTTATATGTTATATCAACTGCTTTTTTTAACATCTTTGTAGAGTAAATACATTAGCGCATGCTCGATGTGTTTTCCGTTAAAATTTTCTGCACTAAAATAATGACCAGATCCAGCGGATATGGTATTTTGAACTACTGTAGTAAAAATTCGACGTTTATTTGGCTGATCTGGTGATTCATCAGAGTAAAGCACATAATAAGTTCCAGAGATGTGATCGTCCACCTCAGAATTTGTACGGACATTATCTTTTGTCCAGGCTGCACCTTTGGCATATGATATTTCTTTAAGTCTTGATTCAAGTAAATGTCTGACATTAGAGTCGAGATTGCTGAAAATATTTTCAATGAATCTATCAATGTCTGCTTTATTGTTATCAAGTATATAGACACCTGATTCGATACTCTGAGTGACACCGCCACTAGGACACGAGTATCCATGCACGGGACATTTCATGTTAAGAAGCCATTTATAATCACCTTCCATATTTTATAACTTTCCAATTCTTTCCTTATCTGACCGAATAAAAAGGATATTATTATTATTTATAAAAACAGCAATATAGAATATAATAAAGAGAGAAATCGAAATGAAATAATTACCTTCTATGTATCGTAGGGTTTCTTGGAAATTCTGGGATGGGAGGAGGAGGTTCAGATTTCTCAGTAGTCCAATACCTTAAACTAATAATCATAATAATCACAATAATCAATATATACACAAAATTTTTGATTCTGGTTCCATGATTATACATTATTGAATTAGAAATATGTATTTATAAGTGAATAACAGATCAGAATACACTCCTAAACGAATTATTTTTAATAATGATAAATTGTTGGAAGAGAAAAATTGCAGAGACCAATGAGTTTAGTCTGGTCCATTGCCGTTAATAACATACTAAATGTGGTTAAAATGTTACCATCAATGGATTGGTACCATGGCCAACCAGGACCCCGCAAACTTTATAGATAGTAATAGGTCAGTAACAAAAATTCCTGTTTGTTATATGACCAAAATTAAGTTTAATATATATATAACTTGACCCTATGATTTGCAATAAAAAGAACATAATTTGACTCAAAATATATACTCACATTAAAAATTTTGAAACTGTCTGATTTTATAATTTATAATATTTTAATGATTTTTTTAATATAAAATATTGGTTTTGTTTTTTGAAATGAGTACGTAAGGATAAAAATTTACACGAAAAATTTTCGGTTTCCCTAATAGATCGTTAACTACTAATTTCGAGCGCCAATATCATTTCTGAATCTAGACTAGTTCATGAACGTTATGGCAGTAATGAAACCCAAAATCACATGAAGGCCCTTTTTTGAATGAGCGCATGGCGTAGTAATGGGAGGAGGCCTTTAGACCGAGCCAACCATATTGTTAATAAAAAAAAAAAAATAACAATAATAATAGTATATATTAACAAAATCCGTTGTAACTATAGCCCTTAGAAATTTTATCATAAATTTGTTAAATTTGTTCATACCCTAAAATGTTGCACAAATCAGTGGATAAATTCAAATTCAAATTCTTCCATCTTTAAATAATATTGAGATGTACTAAATTTTTTTCAATTAAAAGAACCAAATTGTATATTAGTATTAATCATCATCTTGTACTTTGCATTATGTACAACACCAATTGCATCATACGATTTTTAATTTGACAACATGTTAAGAATTATAATTTCCTGTAGTTAGTTGAGTGATAATACTAGAAATTGAACAAGGTTGAACTTTAGAATTAATTGATGAAATATTTGGAATGGAGATAGCTGGTATGGATTAGTTTATTGCTATTATCAGTACCAAAAAAACAAATGTTTATCAATTATTCAATAATTATATAGGCGGTTTTGATCGAAGTAAGTGTTGGTCAAGATCTATGAAGCATGCAAAACAAATGTTTATCAATTATTCAATAATTATATAGGTGGGTTTGATCGAAATGAGTGTTAAAGACAATTTATACATTTTATTTATTATTTATTTAAACAACAATAATTATTAATTATCAATGAAACTAAAATTCAGAAATAATAAAATACCTTTTAGTTTTTGCTGAATCCCATCATAACATTTACTTTCACATATACGACTATTCGTGTTACTTGTAAATTATTTCCGATTTGTATATTAATTTCCCGTGATTTATAATTTATTATTTTACGCTACCACTTGTGTGATTGATTCAATCATTAAGATTAATACCATTCATTGCAAGAGTGGAATAAAATAATTACTTTTTGAATATAATTAATTATATATCTTGGTTAGATAAAAAATAAACATAACTTAGCTTTTTGTTGTTATTTAATCCTTTCTTCATATATGAATGTCTCCATCTATCAAATATTCATGATGATCATGATTATTATTCAATACATTTGATATCATCATTGACATAACAAACAATTACACCACCTAGGTAGTAACAATACCAAGACCATGCATAAATGAACTTTTAATAATGCCTGTCTACCCAGATCTCTCTGGAGTTCACAAGAATAAATAAATAGGGAGGATCAAAAAGAGATTATAGTTCCCATTGTATAGATAGTTCCTTAAAAATCACAAATAAATCTGATGTTGATCACAGGTGTTGGGATTAATTAAATTTTCCTATCACAAGCATGCAAGATGGCACTATTAAGCACAATTCAGCACCATGGAATTTTTTTCCCACAGGTGAAACAGACTTAAACATGTTGAAAGTCTTTGGACAAAACTTTCCCTTATCATCCCCTCAGACCAGGCTTGACTTTTACCATATGGACATTGATAATGTTGAGGATCAGCATTTGCGTGATGATTGCTTTGTGTTATATACCTCTCTTGAATAAAGTTGGTGTCTGCAACTAATTTAAAAATTCAGCAACTTGTGAAGTTGCTGTTTTGGATTTCCCTGAATTCAGAGTTTTGAGTCCTGGTTTGCTGTCATGTTGGTGGCACACCTACTCATCAACAACCCACTCTGGCTAAATAACAAATTCAGTTGGTCAAATAAAATCAATGAGAAACAGAGAATATGATTAATTTATACATAACATACCAAACAAAATCCAAACCATCTTATTTTACAGCCTTCCTCCCAACATCAGAACCCAAATGCAATTTCAACATCAGGAAAATGGGTACAAATATTATGCGTATATAATACGCAATTGCAGGGATTAAGCATATAATATGCATACAAATCGTGTATTTTTTTATGTATGCAAATTGTACATATATTATATGCTTAATCCCTGCAATTGCGTATTATATACGCATAATATTTGTACCCATTTTCCTGATGAAGGTCATCAACCCTGCTCCGAATTGCAACCTCCTGAGCTTGAAACGAGTTGCAGATTCTCTTAATATTCCTCCAAAGTTGCGACTTAGTTGCAGAGCCATCCTTACCCTAGAGGTAGGATAGTTGCAGATAACTTTCGGCTAGCGTGTCAGCAGCCTTATCTGGTCTGGATGCTGTGAGGGAAGATTAGTGAAAGTGTCATTGACGATTGATGCAGTCTCGGTAAACCCCAGGGCCTTGTACTCCTCCCTGGATTCCAACATCATTGTATCATTGGGAGCACTGCAGTAGCCTCCCCCTAGTCAGGATGCAGCTTAAAAGAGTTACAAGAGCCTGGCAAAGAAAAAGCATAGCCACTTGTAGAGATATTTCTATCCCACTCTTGTCAGAATGGAGCTTTCAAGAGGTGCAACAGCCTGATAAGAAGCCACCATTTCAATTACATCTCTATATCCAACTAACCTTCTTCTTCTCCTTTTCCAAGAATCTTTCTGCACACTTGCAGACTTCTTGTGTAGAAGTTGTATCTCCTTTAATTGTGCATAAAGTATGTAAAATGAATGTACATTTTATCCTTGTCCACATTAAGGTTTCCAGCCAAAATTGCTGAAACACTTTGGGCAAAAATTACTTTTTTATAAGCCCAAACTATTAGCCAAATTGGGCGAAATTACTTTAAAGTTGTTTAAATTAAAATTAGATTGGTATAATTTTTTAATGTTTATGTTTATAAAAAATGCTGAGAAGCCAAATTGCCCAAACTAGTTTGGGCTTTGAGAAAACATTTTGGACTGGAAACCCTAGTCCACATATTCACCATTAAAAATAATATAGGCAGTATAGTTTTTTTAGACAAGGAAAATATTTTTTAATCATGGAAGTAGACATACCAAGGAATTATAAATCAGAAATCTAATAATTTTTATCTACTAAAAAAATCTAACATCACATACTGATTATCTGATTATGATTGATTATGCAAAGAGACTATCAAATTTGAACATTTAGAAAAAAATAATAGAGAAAAATAAAATCAATATATTCACAGGCTTTCTTCTGATTTTCACAATTAGCAGCCAAGGGATTCACTGGAGGTAAATGTTATCTTATGTACTTGTAAAAGACAATTACAGAAGATCAAGGTTATGGATTAAATGAAAGACATCAAAAATACGATAATATCCAAAGAGGATGGAGATATGGACAAGACTAGTATCAAGGAAGTTAGAATGCACCTCAAAGAGACAGACATTGATATGGATATTGATAATTACATTTAATCTAGCGAAAAATTTTTATATGTGAAATTATTATTTTAAAAATTGTGATAACTATATCTTTATTATTTATATGAATGCTTCTCGGAGTAGTAAGTGTTCAAAGAGAGGGATCACGCTGGTCCCTAAACCATAAAATGGCAGTTCCATCTTACTACTTCATACTATCTATCCATGAACCAACCTGGTCCACTTCTATTATAAAAGTTTTTTATTATTGTCTATCTAATATTTTCTCCAAGTTTTATGAATGCATAGAGCTACGGAATAACACATATAGACAAAAAAGTTAAACTAGACAGTTTTTTATTTATACTAACACAGGAATTAGGAGAATCAAAAGAAATAGCAGATGAATTCGAAGAAGCTTGTTTCACTTTGGTGATCTTGTTCGATTCTTTGGATAATTGCATAATGTTAATTGAATAGGTTATGGAATGTTGTGATAGATTTGTTAATTGAATCGAATTCAGTTAAAATTCTACTAAAATGATTATTGCATATAGCATTCAAGAACTTGTTCAATTTCACCAAGTCTCGTGACAAAAGAATTAACCAACAACAAGATTCTCTGCACCTCTGCAGTAAAGATATAGCACTTTTGTAAGCTTATTGCCCTGAAGAGATTAATTCCAATTATATAATTCGGACGAGAGAAAAAGGCTTTACATTAGTTGATTGTCCTTGCTTTTAATACTGAAAGAGTACTAATATGGAAAAATGCATTATTCCATACCTTTATGCACATGGTTTATAATAATAATATAAGGTTATCATATTCTGTCACAATGGGATAAAATGTCCGTCCGCATTAGAGTTCCTAATTGTCAATGATCAACATATACAAATTTGAGTTTCGCGCCTGCCATATTAACATAATAATATAAGGTATTTTTCAGGAAATTCATGTTATGATTTGTTTATTTATTAATTATAAGATTGGTAAAATTTTGCACTTGGTGCAATATTTTTTGCACCATGATGGTATGGAGTTGTATTAGTAAAATTGACAACTAGGGCTCTCTGGCCAATTGAGTTTTTTACTTGCAATATAAGGATTATATTTGGTGAAAAAATATACTGCTCGCATAGCATGAAAATGAGATTGACCAAAATAAAAAAATCAGCTGAGGGTCAAATCACATACATTTTGGTGATTTGGTTTTTGGGCTGTAAACAAGTCTCTAAAATTACCAAGTTTAATAGCAACTTTCTTCTTTATTCCTCTTTAAAAATTAAATACACGTTTCTACAATAATCACTCTTGATCAATGAAATATCGTTTACGAATTTAGTCAGCACTGGTTATAATCAAAGCAAAAATTTCAGTTATAAAAAATCATGCAACAACATTTTTTATATATTCTTTTATATATGTGATTTGTATTTTTCAAGGCATATTTGCATGGAGAACTGTTAACATTTCATATAACATTCCATATACTTTACTGTTCTCAATGCATACTTTCTTATTTGTTTCAATCAAATCCCTAGGTATATTTTCTTGTAAAGCCTTTCAAGGAATAATTGCAATGTTGTATTACATATCTTTTGGCAGCACCCGAATACATTTCTATATAATTCAATTCATAATGGAATTTTGGATAAAACCAAAGGATCAAAAGGACTAAGGGAAATATGATAAATATTGAGATTTGTTAATCAGGCCAGTCATGTGATATAACATTGAAAATTTAATCAGGACGGCATATAAAAATTGAATTGCAATTAATTACAGCATATAAAATTGTGGCATATGAAAATTAAATTGCAGCTAATTGCGGTTCCAATCTTTAAACCCTGATTGAACTTTCAACACTGATTATAGATATGGAGAGACTTTTCTCAGAATAATCTATTTTTAGGGGAAAAAAATATAATCTTTTTATATGTGATTTATTTGTGAAATTTTTAGCCAATGTATTATGCTTGTAAAACAACTTTTAGATTAAAGAGTCTGAATATAATGAAAAATTAATTTCAGCATGATTATCTATGTTGCCCATTAATTCATTATTTAACTAACATCTATATGAAGACATATACAGTTAGGGTATTATTTTATAATTAGTATCAACAACTAATGTCATTACTACTCAACATTCACAATTGTAATATTATCATTTATGGTTAATAGTTTAATTGCTATCAATTTTATTTAATACATATTTCAAAAATAATAATAAAATTTATTTGTATATAGGTAAATATTTATGTGAGAGAATAAGGAAAATTTTTAATGTATAAGGAGTTTATTTTTAGCCTCTTTGTAAAGTAAATATTTTAGCGCATTTTTGATGCATTCTTCTTGTCCGTTAAAATACCCTGCAATAAAATAATGACCAGGGCCAGCAGATATGCTAATTTGAACTATTGCAATAAAAAACTGACGTTTTGACTGGTTTTGTATTTTATCAGAGTAAAGTGCATAATGAATTCCAGCGATAGAACCGTCCACCTCAAAACTTGTACTGAGTTCATCCTTTGTCCATTTTGCACCCTCGGTGTATGATATTGCTTTGAGCTTTGCTTCAAGTAGAGATCTGACTTTACGATCCTCAAGATGGCCAAAAATATTTTCAATAAACCCATAAATATCTGCTTTATTGTCATCAATTACATTGACACCTGATTCAATAATCTGAGTGATACCACCACTAGGGTACGAATATCCATGCATGGCACACCTCATGTCAGTAAGCCATCTATAATCACCCTCCATATTTTTATAAAGTTCTAATTGAGTTCTTAGACTGAATAAAAAGGATTTTATTATTATTCATAAAGACAGAATGTAGAGTATAAAGAAGTGAGATAATCACCTGTGAGGCAATACTTCTTGACTATGACATAACATCAATTCTGGTAAAAATGTTAAACAAATAGTCATAATAAATAACATATTCAAAAAATTATTGGATTTAATTTTAATTTTGTGTTTATACATGGCTGAGATCAGAAAGATAGCATCCATGCATAGAAACATGTATCTATAAGTGATATTAACAAATCCAAATGCACTCCTAACAAATGAATTAATTAAATTAATAATTGATTAAAAAAGGCTAGGAAATTTAATTATATATAATTTACAAATAAGTCAACCATTGAGAATCATCACTTTTGATAACTTTGAGCTAACATAAGATCAGGAGAGAAAGAAAATTTATTTTTATAGCAAAATTTAAAAATCAACAACTAAAGAATTTAAATACCAGTATAAAACCATCTGATAAGGTTCAAAATAAGTACAAATCCAATAACGCCAACTGCGAGATAAGTTTTTGGAGCTCCAGTCATTGGATATTTTATTGCTTCTTTTCCAGCTTGGAAATTGTAATCTTTGAATTTGTCATTATGATAATTCATTTTTATTTGTCTCTTTTAGATAAACAATAATTTTAATAAATTGTAGTTAAAGAGGAAAAGTGAAGAGTCTTAAATGAGCATGCAGATCACTAATCTTTATATAGATATAATGGCAATATAATGTTTTTGTAAGTGATGTACAACTCAGCTATAGTAGATGGATAGATATTGTGGTCATGACATACTTACTGGTTCGAGGCATTGTCCATTCTTAATTCCATATCAAAATGAATTAATATCTCGTCCAACTATATATAAGTCCCAATCATAATAGATCCAAATTGATCTCCTGTTAATGATAATAATAGAACTTCTTCAACAGTCAATCTCGATGACATTAGTAGGATTAAATCATGCATGCTTTGTAAAATATGTTTCTGAAAAAACATTTCTTTTTTTATTATTATTGGTTAACTTATCAATATGCAAAAAGAAATATACTGCATATTAATTAAGTGACAATGATAAATTATAAAACTTGAAACTGATAATTGTGAAGCGCATTATCAATTTGATATAATGAATATTATGAGATTAACATTCTCTTGATAATCACGTTTTTAGTATTTGGTTAAATGTTTGTATAAAATCCAACCCCATTATCAGATGAAAATAGCGTAATGTATTTTTCCATATTTAAATCAGATCATGTCTATAAAATGAATTGTTATTAGTAAAGGAGGCTGATGCAAAGTCAACATTAAAATTGGTCATTATTGAGATGTTGACTTGGCCTTTTTATTTAGCAGTTTTATGATATAGAATCATGGTTTAAAAGACTGTGGCTGGGCCATTCATCCTTACACAAAATTGGACTAGTCAGGACTGAAAATTGTAAATGAACAATTAATTCATGGGGTCCATAATTGTAAAGCAGACAGTTCATAGATAAACATAATAAAATTCCAAGTTTAAAAAAACATAAGTTTCATATTTGAAATGGCAACTCTGCCTGTACATAGTTTTCCTTTTATTTTATATATTAAAGTTCAATTTTAATTAGCCAATGCCCGAATTTTATATGCCCAAATGTTCTGTGAATTAATTAAGTCCTCATTAGTTATTTTATATGAATTATTTTCTTTTTTAAAAAAAATATAACAAAGACCTGCCTGGCCATACTGACTGTTTAATTTGTTGTCTGCTGATCAACACTAGTAACTCACTATATAATAAAAATTGGGCAATCGACATATATGAATTTAAAAAAATGATCAAGCGACAAAGGTTGCATATTATAAAATTTGTATATATTAAAAAATATACTTTCATTATCAGGGTCCACCGTCTAACCTAAATGTGCATTTGGTTAAATTGACTAAACATATTTAGTCATTGGGTGCCTTCAAAAATTATTATATTGAGATTGAGATTGAATATTTGATTGGATTGAGATTGGATTGAAATTGAAATTTTCAATCCATGATCAAAAATTATTTTATCAAGATGATTGACAATTATTAATTAAAAATGGAATTTTTACATCTCTTTCTCTTTTATTAATCATCAAAGAAATGAATTGGACCTTGAACTTACAAATACCAATGCTGATGATTTTAGTATTGATGTCTTTGTTTTTTGGGTACTTCAATATTTTCCATTTTTTATTTTTATTTTTATTTTTATTTTTATTTTTATTTTTATTTTTATTTTTATTTTATTTTCATTTTTATTTTTTCAATCTTAATACCTGACCTAGATTGAAATTTCATATTAAAATTCGATCTCAATCTCAATCTCAATCTCAATCTAATAATTTTTGAAGGCGCCCAATGTAAATACATATATGCGGATTTTTTTATGGTACCCCTTTTTTCTCTAAAAAAGGAAACAGTTTAACAAAATATATTTTCAAATACATTATTACATTATTAGTATTATGAACTTTCAATTACTAAGGCTTTTGGAAAATCATTACATTTATAAAATTATTAATCAGGATACATTTGTAGAACAGTGCTATGGAGAGGGAATTTTAATTTCATACAATTTTTTCGAAAGTTGCAATAGATGATAAAGAAGAAATTTTCTGTATTTTGAATGAGCTTTTTTATGCCATT